CTGTCTGCTGACGATTATATTCGGCAATTAAATTATTATTTGTCTGGGTAAGTTTGAGGAATTTATCCGACAACACCTCCTTATACTGGACATGCAAATGATGATCTTCACAAATGTAACCCAAACGTGCCGAATCACAGTGATTGTCATTCCATAGATAATTGGATTTTTTCGACCATGTATGGACACAATGTTCTTTGTGTTGATCATTGTCGGGATTATGATCTGACCAATAAGTAAAAGTCATGGGTTTACCCGATGAGGACCAATAGAAAGGTCTTTTGTAGTTTTTATCACGGGAAAATTCATCCATGGCGCCCAACCACAAGTTATGGGAATTACCTACAAATTTAGAGGAGTTTTAATTTTTGTAAGGAATTTTGTTTAAGGGGATCTCTTTTTTTCTATTATTTACCAAAAAGTGGTTTCAGCACAGCTATTAAGGCATCATTCTTTTTTTCGGAATCAATCTCAACCAGCTGCAAATTGCGACGAGCACACTCATGAAAGGCTTGGAACCAGTTATACTAAAAACAATGATTAAATAAAAATGTCAATTAATTAAATAAAAATTCTGAATTTTTTGTAGATGCGTCATTGGTTTGCTTAATAAATATTTACCTTCTCATCTCCTTCTATTAAATATTGCCGTCCATCGCTGCTATTATGCCACTGCGGATCACCTCTGACAACTACGAGTAAGAGTGTGACAATTGCGAATAATCTAAACATGACCGATCTTAAAAGAGTCATCTCTGCGTAGTGTCAAAGTTGGATTAACTTCCCAGACTTATATACCCATCTGTCATCATGCTTTTGTATAGGTTCTTCCCTACTAAAGATGATAACGAATTTTTTAATGTTTTCTTAGTGAATTATTTACAAAAAAGGTAAATAAAATGAATAATCCGCGAATCGTGTGTCTTTCCGATTATTAGAGTGTGCCGGACGAATTCAACTTGCATATGAGAATAATTAGATGGGATATTTACCGAAAAAAACAAATACACACGTTCCGCCTGTGCGAATTTTTTACTGATAACATGAGGCGGATATTTAAAATACCTGAAGCCTGTATGGACTTTTAAATGTGGGATATGTTAATGTTATTTGCGAAATGCCGTAAGGTAAAGTCCAGAAGTCGACAATACTTTTAATGTTCATTTAAATTAATTTAAAATGTGAGGTTTCAACGTGTTTAGCTTTAGAGTGTAAACACAACCAGAGGGTCTAGATTTAGCGACGGTCGTTTACCGTGTGTTTGTTATTGGTAACGGGAAATCCCGACGGCTGACGTTCGCGTCCAACGGCTTGACGCTAGAATAGATTTTATTCAATTCAATCTTGCTCTCAATTGAGTTGCCATGCATTCAATGGAAAAGTTGGTACCAGCAGTGGTACCAACATTTCAATGGAAACACAAATTTACAAAAATCCTTTTTTTATCGAATTAATAATAAAATGCTACTGCTCCAATAATTTTACCCAAGTTCCTTGACATTATTGTTTATTATTATTTGGTTTGCACAACGTATAATATTCTGTCAGAAAATGATGTTTACACTCTTAAAGTAACGATCAAAAGGTCCCCTAGTGGTCATACAATCAAAAACCCTAGCATAACTCTGAAAATTGCATAAGTGGACATCGAGTTAAAAGCAAGCCACCAGCAGGTGTCAGGAGTCAGCGGCATACTTTTTCGCCGGCGTGAAAATCAAAATTATGCTCTGAAGTCCGATTCGATCTGGACAAAATTTGGCATAACGTACTGAATTAAATCTAGAATAATGTGAACATCAGTTCAGATTTGGATATAGCTCCCATATATATTTTCGTCCCAAAGTCAAATGAAATGAAAATGTTGCCAGAAAGGCACGTGTATGGAATCATGTTAGTCGGTTCACTCGGTTTCGTTTATCATTCGAACATTGACATGAAATTGTCAGGATACATATGTCTGGTGGTGAAGGGTATCATACAGACCTCCCAGTCCGACTTACTACTTTCCTTACTGGTTTTTACCTAAAATATGGCAACTGAATAAAGTCTATTCTAGCGTCAAGCCACTAGACGCGAACATCAGCCGTCGGGATTTCCCGTCGCCAATAAGAATCACGCGGTAAAAGAGCTTCGCTGACTCTAGACTCTCTGGTTGTGTTTAGACTCGCAGTCTTGTGTAGATGGTTGTAGAATCAATTGGGGTTCCGAAGCAAGCCCTCGACTACCAGTAAAAAAAGCTCTTGAATATGGGGTTAAAAGACGAGCCATCGGCCACCAGTGAAATTAGCTAGAGTTGGGGAATCTAGTTCACGGATCAGATCGATATTTCTCTTTCCGTTTTTAAAAAGGAACTAGTTAAGTTTCGACTTCTAGGTAGGTTCTTTGAATCTCTAAATATTTTTTTTTCGCACACATAGTTCCATTTTGATTCGTTGATGGATGAAAAAAGTAAACAAATTGAACTAAAATTAAAAAATAAAATTGATTTCAATTAATTTCTATATAGTAGAATATTCAAAAGCAACATAATTCAACTACAGGACGACAATCAATTTGAACAGGAAACGAATGAAGACTATGTGACTAAAGGAACGAGATCTGAAAACGGAACTATAACTGAACCTAGTTCCTATCGTTCCTTTATCAGAATAATTCCAATAAACTAGTTCGTTTCGGAAATACTCAGCTCTAGAATTAGCTGTGGAGTATTCGCTGTCTAGTCAAGTGGGGTTGCAAAACGAGCCACGGCTACCAGTGGGGTTGAAAAACGAGCCTTCGGCTGGAACAGAAAAAAGTTCGTCGTTTGGGTCAAGTGGAGTTGAAAAAGGAGCATTTAGCTCTTAGACGATGCATCGGGCCGCCGCTGTACAAAGCTGTCACCAACCTCCGGGACCGTCACTGCTCTACTGTGCCAAGCTGCCCCCAAACTTCGGGCCGTCAGAGCTCATCGGGCTGCTGATGTCCCAAGCTAAAACTAACTTTCTCTTTATCAGGCTGCCTATCTCCGGGTGCTGTCAACGTTCATCGGCCGCCGCTGTGCCAAGCGCTGCCAACCCCGTGGGCCGTCACCGCTAATCGGACTGCTACCGTGCCAAGCTCCCGCAAACCTTCTGTGTGCCGCCACCATCGCTCAACAGGCTGCTGCTGTACCAAGCTAAATTCAGCATTCATCAGGCAATTTCTTCGAAAACGCGTTCAAACTTCCGCAATGTAGGAGATACCATTGTATGTGGGTTACCCTAAAAATGTTCAATGTTTATTATTGTCGTTCATTGAACGATTTTGTTTACCAAACGTCGTCGGTCACTGAACGACGTTGCTCACTTAACGACACCAAATTAGCAGTCGTAGCATCGCCCAGGAGCTAGAAATCGACCATGAAACTGTTTTAAACCATTTACAATCGACCAAAAACGGCCAGAATTGGCCTAAAGGAGAGGTGTCGTGTTCCAACAGGACAACGCTAGGCCACACACATTTACAGTACATTGCAAAATTTCTTTAATGACAAAGAATTGGTATCTAGGGAGGTTTGTGAAAATCGACTACTAGAGTTTTTTGCAAATAGAGAGTTGGACTTATATGAGAGAGGCATTATGAAGTTACTTTTAAACTGGCAACAAATCATGTAACATAACGGTTCATATTTGGTCCAAATCGGACATTCCGAAGTTAAATAAAGTTTTATAGTTCATATAAAAACAATGAATTTATTTTTCCCCAACCTGATACATACATACGAGATTTTAGTAACATTGAGAACGTTTGATTATGATTTATCACATAAAATCGTATGAGCAAAATTCGATATGAGTCAAAATTGGTTCGATCCATATATCTAGAGTTAGAAATATAGACTTCCATATTTTTTGTTTTGTCGGATTGATCATAGAGAGTAAGATCTCTCTATGAACTCTAAGCCATCACTCTAGGACCAATATTTCGCAGAGTTATAAACACTTGTAGGGTATAAAAATGAATACAAGTTTATATACAGGTTTCATTATTCGCTTTATATAAGGTATGTATATGTTTTCATCAAAGAGGTTTCGTATGTTATGTTAACCAAATCGGTTATTCAATTGCCTTTAAATTAAATTTCGACGATGTTGACGGGTCTCACATCCGGACTTGATGTCAAATCGGGCACTCCTTTCGCCGAGAGGACCCATACCGATAATTCTACAAACCGATTTGTGTAAACCATTATGCACTCCAGCAATTTTTATTGGGGATTTTTTCTAAAATCTGAAAACGCTAAAACGTGGACTGAAGCTGATAACACATGGTAGAGTAGAAAATCCTCCAACTACTGCAATTTAGATTGCAAAGTTATATGGGGCTATGTCTGAAGGGATGGGCCAATATTGATTACGTAGTGTAGGAATTACCGAATATTTGAGGTTATGAGGGTTATGCCTAATTAATGACCGATATATGCCAATTTTGAATCCAATATTTTAGTTTTGTATCTCAATGTTTTTCAGGAGGTATCATTATATGGGGGAGATGCCTAATTGCTGGTCGATATATTTTATTATCGTCAGGTTTCAGTTTTTTTAATAATTAATAATTTTTGGGAGGGAGATTTGTTGCCATATACGACTACAAAAAAACTAAATTACAGAGAAATTTGTTGAAAAATGCGCTCAAGAACCCCGAAATACCGGAAATTCGAGGCACCTCAAGGGTTACCTGTATGTAGGGACAACCCGAAAAAGTGGATCTATATTTAAAATTTTTAGTGGAGAAATTTGCTACCCAATATGAACTCAAAGTACCAAATTTCTGCGAATTCGATTGAAACCCCCGCTTAAGAAGCCCGAAATTGGGGACACTGATTTGCTACCCAATAAGAATTTGCTACCCAATAAGAATTCAAAGTACTAAATTACAGTATATTAGGTCGAAAATGCGGGCGAAAATTTATTTATATATATATATTGTTTTTTTATTAACTCATTATTAAATTTATATATTCCAGTCAATTTACACCTAACTTAAACTTTCAAAACCGTATTGTAAACCGATTTTGCCAACTCCAATTCTTTGGTAATTTTCTTCGATATTTCCTCGGTGCTAATTTTCAATTCAACATTCCGACTATGGACAGCCTTTCGTTTATCTTCGACCAACGAATCGACTTCTCTCTTATGCTGAGCCAAAGCATGGCTAATATCTAATTGCAATTTTGTATAGATATCGTTCAGACCTTTCTTAAATTCCGTTTCGCTAGACTCAGTTTCCTTAAAACTAGCTTGTAACGTCTTCGTAAACTCTTTCTGCTGACGATTATATTCGGCAAATAATTTATTATTTGTCTGGGAAAGTTTGAGGAATTTACCCGACAACACCTGTTGATGCTGGACATGCAAATGATGATCTTCACAAATGTAACCAAAACGTGCAGAATCACAGTTATTGTCATTCCATAAATAATTTGATTTTTTCGACCATGTATGGACACAATGTTCTTTGTGTAGATCATTGTCGGGATTATGATCTGACCAATAAGTAAAGGTCATGGGTTTACCCGATGAGGACCAATAGAAAGGTCTTTTGTAATTTTTGTCGCGAGTGAATTCGTCCATAGCACCCAGCCATAAATTATGGGAATTACCTAAAAATTTGGGAGAATTTTAATTGTTGAAAGGTATTCTTTTTACGGGGATATTTTTCAATTATTTACCAAAAAGCGGTTTCAGCACAGCGATTAAGGCATCATTCTTTTTCTGTGAATCAATCTCGACAAGCTGCAAATTGCGACGAGCACACTCATGAAAGGCTTGGAACCAGTTATACTAATAACAGAACAATTAACTTATTAATTTTTTGTAGACGCTTAATTATTTTACGAAATATGTATTTACCTTTTCATCTCCTTCTATTAAATATTGCCGTCCATCGGTGCTATTATGCCACTGCGGATTACCTCTGACAACCGTGAGTAAGAGTGTCACAATTGCGAATAACCTTAAAATGAGCGATCTTGAAAGAGTCATATCTACGTAGTGTCAACATTGGATTAACTTTCCAAACTTATATACCCATCGGTTGTCATACTTTTCTAAAGGTTCTTCCGCACTAAATATGATAACGGATTTTTTTTTTTAAGTTTGCTTAGTGAGTTATTTACAAAAAAACCGTAAATATAATGGATAATCCATGAATCGTGTGTATTTTCGATTATTAGAGTGATCCGAAATGTTTAACGACAACATCAAGAGCCCAGCGGATATGGAGTTTGAAAAAATATTCTTTAAAAAATCAATGCCTTTGGTAGACCCTGAAAAAATATTCTTTAAAAATTCAATGCCTTTGGTAGACCCTGAAAAAATATTCTTTAAAAATTCAATGCCTTTGGTAGACCCTGAAAAAATATTCTTTAAAAATTCAATGCCTTTGGTAGACCCTGAAAAAATATTCTTTAAAAAATCAATGCCTTTGGTAGACCCTGAAAAAATATTCTTTAAAAAATCAATGCCTTTGGTAGACCCTGAAAAAATATTCTTTAAAAAATCCACGCCTTTGGTAAACCCTGCAAAAATATTCTTTTAAAAATGTACGCCTTTGGTAGACCCTGAAAAAATATTTTTTAAAAAATCCACGCCTTTGGTAGACCTTGAAAAAATATTCTTTAACAATGCCACACCTTTGGTGGACCCTGAAAAAATATTCTTTAAAAAATCGACGCCTTTGGTAGACCCTGAAAAAATATTCTTTAAAAAAGCCACGCCTTTGGTGGACCCTGGAAAAATATTCTTTAAAAAAGCCACGCCTTTGGTGGACCCTGGAAAAATATTCTTTAAAAAAGCCACGCCTTTGGTAGACCGCTTAAATTTTATTTTTAAATATCAGGAGTGGATTGAATGATCTCGCCGTCCGGTTTGACGTAGATTTGGTAAAATTATTACTATATATAAAATTTGGATCCTTTCCTATACTATATTCGCTTTTATAAGATTTACAAGGTTTCAAAATTCCAATCTGGGAGGAGTGGACCGGTATGTCCCATCTTCGAATATTATTTGAGGTTATTAAATATATTGCGTTGTGCATAGGAAAACTATTTCGCCAGACGGAGTAGTCCAATAAAATCCATCTTCGAACTTGATCTATGAACATTTACTTGAAATTTGGTTGATTTGGTTTGATTAAAAATTTAAAATGGAAACCGAAATTGGACCTTATTTTTTACAATAAAATAATTAATACAAAATAATCTTTGGTCGGTCCATACCATTATGTATATTTTACACGTTTTCGTGCCTTGCAATAGAAAAAAACGATAAGTTTTAATAACCAACATTAACTTAACACGTGCTGGGGTGGTAATTTAAAATTTGAATTTTGCCTTGTAATGGCAGTGATCAGTTGAAAGTAATTTTAAGTTAGTTATTTATACTCTTTTGAGTCGAGCTTAATGATCGAAGTTTTGCAATGAAAAGGAAAGCCAGGAGAAGAACCTATGTACCCACCATTATGCGAAGCATTTCGCCGTTGGTTAAGCGGCTCATCAGGTATATTGGGCTATGTGGCTTTACAACACAAATGTTGTCAGACCACTTAACGTTCTGAGCCATCAACACACATCCAAAATGGTTGCGCAAAAACATGTGTATGCCAGGGAAGCAATTGTAGGTGTATGGATTAATTATCCATCGCTACAAAAAATCCGCTTTGAAAATGACTGTTTCTAGAATGAAGACAAATGTCGAATCTTGATAAATTTGAATTTAATTCGCATATGCAAGTTTCGCATCAGGGCGGAATAAATACAAGTTATCAACATACGACCTTTGTAAAGCCACATAGCCCAATATGCCTGATGAGCCGCATAACCAACGGCGAAACGCGTCGCATAATGGTGGCTACGTAGGTTCTTCTACTGACTTTCCTTTTCATTGCAAAACTTAGATCATTAAGCTCGACTCGAAAGATTCATCTTATAAAAAGACTATGCCTATTAAAATATAAAAGGCTTGTTGCAATTTCCAAATGAACTACCGAATGCAACAAACGTAAAGAGATTCCAACTGGAATTGCATCTCTAATAAGAGTGGCAATAAAAAAGAGCGACGGAAATCACACTCATTCCGTGGACGTACTAATGTTTCGTTAAATTTTATAGCAAAAGTCATTGAGAGAGTTTGTGATGAAATGGTAATTTAAGAGTGAAACATTTATTTATTTTTCAAGAAGAGCATGAAATAATAAGAGATGTTGATGGTTCACAAGAGCTACAGTTAACCACAAATTTGGCCCCATAAGCACTGTTCGACAATATTGTACATATTTTGTTTCAGATGACAATAGTAGAGTTACTTAAAAAATATGTACATATATATTGTCATATTTAATTACACAATATGGAATTGTGAAAATATGAATATTTATAATAATTTTCCCCATAACAAAAATCGACACAAAATCGATGTAATGGTCTAGAGGAGGAAAATTCCTTATGAGAATGAAAGAAAAAATATTCAATATAAGAGACGAAAAGAGGTTACTTCGATAAGTGTCTGATAATCCAAAGCTAAGTGCACCCAAACTTGCTGTAATTGCAGAGAAATATTTGGAAAAGAAAAGTAAAAAAATGTTCAACGAATTTTGCGTAAGCATGTTAGAGTTGCACTGAAAACAGCTATTCATAAACCGAAAACACGGAAAATTCGATTCTTTCGGGAAACATAAAAAAATCCACTTGTTAAAAAAAACTTTTTCATGGATACTGTGAGGATGCAATTGCTTTTGTTTAACTATCATTATTTTCTTTATATTGAATGCAATAAAATATTTGTTATTTTATTGCATTAACCATTTGTGGCCCAATGTTGCCCACAGGCAACAGAATATTTTAGAGCTTATATTTTATACGCGGCTAGTAAATGTTTAATGCATTTATTAAGAGCTGATTATGGACGATATATATCAAAAGAATAATCTAAAAAATTCAAATTTTTGGTCAAGTTATACGCTTTTCAATATATAGATGATCGCAAAAATGTGAACAGTACAGTCCAAATTATTTAAATCGCTTCGTATTCGAAATGTACGAATTGTACCCCCTAAATTGTTGTTGAGTCTTGTAAAAAATAACCTAAAGAATAATTAAGAGTGATTTTTCGTCGATATTGCATTTATTTTTATTGATATTGGACTTTTTTTTCGGAAAGAAGGTACTGTATCTCCCGAATGCAAGAATGTAGCGACGTCAAATTTTGTTCATATTCTATTTAGGATAGTTACATTAAATCTGTGCACAGAAAATGGTTCTATTTTCACCGGAAAAACATTCAGGGCTCAAAGGGTTAATTTTATGATCAAATATTAATTCTAACAAATGAAAAATAATACTATTTAATTCATTGATGCAGAAAAACGCAGCCATTTTTTCGAAAAAAAAAAAACAGTTTGTTAACAATTATCGGATTTGAACCCAAATTTCACATTTATCTTATTGGAGTGTTTTCTATCAATTCTCATTAACAAATTTGTCCTCCGAGGAAGTTGGTTTTGACCGTTTTTGGCCGAGGTCGTGAAACTGTGCCCTCTATGATAACTAACCCTCGCATCAATGTTTTTTACTTCTCTGACAATTTTTTAAGTTATTCAATAAATGTCTCATAGAAATACAATATTAATAATTTCCTGTTGCACAGTGTAATTTAGACTTGATGCATATAATTTACATTATCAACAATACATTATTAAGAATAAACAAAAAGACTAGAATTATTCAGCCAAACAGGTTTCATTAAAAAATTAAAACATTTTTTTCATTGAATTCTTATAAAAAAGATTGTTCCAATTTCTCTATTTCCCACCATTCATTACTATTAACCTTACCCAATAACTGTGTCACTGATATATAATTCTCTTGCCTGTAACCCAAAAAACTCCAATAAATATAACTTAAGAGTTTACGTTATTATTTACTCATCTAATTAGCATACTCTGTGGAAGAGAGACAATTACAGAGTTTCGTTAAATTTTGTGCTGCCCCAGAGCAGTTGCACTATGACGACAACGTCTACGCCAACGTTGTCTTGTCATGTTGTTCCATTATCGTGAAGACGACTCCAACGACACGAACATCATTATTATGTTGTCTACACGATGCCGTCGTGACGACGACGACGACGACAACAACAGAGTTAAATGCATTTATCCCAAACACTCAAAAAAAGCCGCCAAACACCGAGTGAACGAGAGAGCCCCCCAATAAACCAGTCTATGGGTGTGTGTATGTGCTGCATGCCTACTCTTTGTGTCTGTTGTTTGCATTTGTTTTTATTATGTGATGTTTTCTAGTGGATTTTATTCTCTCTCATACACACACGCACACAGTGTCTGAGAGTCTCAGTTGTCTCTCCACCACAAAACCTTACCTCCATTACTGTGTTTGTTGTTGTGTTGTGACGGGGGAGCATCGTCCAACCATTGCTGCTCAACATGAAATCCAATTTGAAAACTTCAGTTACAGTTGGAGCGTATAGCCAAACGGTTCGGTTTTCTATCCATAAAAGTAACGCGTGCATGAGTTTCTCGTTACGTGTCGTTCGTTGTTCGTCCGTCGTGTAATTCGTGTATAAAAAATATCATCATCTACCCAGCAATTGGAAATAATAAATTTGTGTGTGAAGTTTTTTATGTCTTGTGTTTTTAATTAAAATAGGAAATTAAAGTGTTTGTGTTTTTTGTTTCAATCCGGGATTTTTTTATTTAAGCCGTGACAATATCAAATACATAAAAAACAACAAACAAACAGGAACGAAAACCAACTAACTACTCTACTCCATAACGAAGAAGACACGACAATAATAGTAATAATAACAACAACAACAGCAAAGTCAAGCACGAACAATTAACGGACGGGTTTTGTGAGTGCGTTTCTTCTTGTTGTCTGTTGTTGGTTTTTTGTTGTTGTTGTGGGTATGTGCGTGTGTTAATGTTTTTTGTTACTATTCTTCTCAAAGAGCCAACAAAAATTGAAGAA